CAAGATAAGGCTTTAAATTTGCGAAATACCGAAGAGAACTCTGTAGGCAAAAGTGAGTGTCCGGTTTCCCTTTAGTTTCGCTTTAATTCCTCCGTTGTAGAAGGACGTAAGAAGATCAAAGATGGCAAGGACAGTAAAAAGAAACGGTCCGGTAATTCCAGCGAGGAGGACTCGACGGGTACAGTGCGAGGCAGTAAAAAGAAAAAGCAGAAATGCACCACGAATACTAATAGCGCAGGGGGTACCGCGCTGAGCAATACGATCTCTGCATCAGGTGAGGGTTCGTATCATTCATCTTCATTTGTTTATCATTCATTTCATCGTCGCCATGAGAACAAGTTTGAGTTGTGTGACATTTCGAGCATTTTCAGTTGTCGACGCAGTTCTGCCAGGTTTAGCCGGAATAACGCATCCGAGCGACGTTTTGGATATGCCCGTCGATCCGAATGAGCCCACCTATTGCCTTTGCCATCAAGTTTCCTACGGTGAAATGATCGGGTGCGATAATCCAGATGTAAATTTAACAATACCGTGTGAACCCCCAGTATTATGTATTTTCATTTTTTAGTGCCCGATCGAATGGTTTCACTTTGCGTGCGTTGGACTTACAACGAAACCAAAAGGTAAATGGTACTGTCCGAAGTGTACACAGGATCGAAAGAAGAAGTAAATTGGTCGTTATTCTTTCACATGCCTAGTTTAAGAGAGTTTATAATTAGTATAGTTTACTTTTAAAGTTTTGTATTCTTATGGGAATGTACAGTGGTTTGTGGTACTCATTGTTTAGCTCTTATAAATAAATTATTGAACTAATACCTAATTATGTTTATTGTATGTAATGTTTAATTCATTCCCTTTCAAAACAGATAAACGAATCATGAGCATGAGATAGCTATTTTTGTCATCCAGTCCTATAGACGTACGAGTAATTATGCAGTGAATTTTCGTATGTTCGATGCATTAATATGCCTGACAGTTATGCACCCCACCTTACACACAAACTTGACAGCAGTGTAAACAAAAGAAGGCTCCTAATCCGCCATATTGGAATAATTCTAAACTTTCTTATGAAATGCTGCTTTTGTAGTTGAAGTCTAACAAATTCTTGATAGTGGATATTCTATGCAATGATGAAAAGAACGGCGGTACTTAAAAAAATTGAAATATCGGTCTTAGTTTTTTAGGAAGATCAATGAATAGAAAAATCGTTTTTTGTAGATAACAGTCGTTGTAATGAGGGTAGAAAAACGTACAGCACCAATTTGGAAATCCGGCAGTATTTCCTACGGCGGTACTTAAAGATATTATTTCCATCTATTATGATAAGGCATATATTTTAAAAAATATGTTTCGGGATCTTCAGAAAAAAATGAAAACGCTAACGTAAGGATAGGCAACTCAAATTGCACTTATAACGCCTGAGGCGACAACTCATTACTTGAAAGGGAAAACAAAAAAACTATCTGGCATTACCCTATACATTGTTACGCCGTTCCTAATGATATGGATTAGGTAAATTACTATTTATTATTTATTTATTTGAATGCTGTTGATTTGTAAATCATAATGTCACATATTCCCAAGACGAAAAATGGATATCCTATTATAGGTAGGTACATTGGAAATAAATTCTGTTTTATAACAATGCTTTCACACTACCAGAAGCGTAGCACTTTGTTTAGTTATATCAAATCAAATATGACTAAATTACACGTTTGTGTATATTTCCCATCTAAAATTATCAGTTTCCTCAGATAGTCCAGTATGCGGAGCAGTCAGAAGGGCCGATTCCTGCAAAATGTGGTGTAAACGATTTTAACGTTTTAAATGGTCCATTTGGGTCCAAATAACATGTATTTGAAGAGTGCACACCAATTTTTTCCTGGCACAACTTTTGGCAGCCAAAAAAACCTCAAAACGTTCGGACTTTTTTCAGTTTTTCGCTTAAAACTCGAAAACGGTGCATATTTTATGAATAACACTTCTTTGCGTCGATCAAAAAAAACAAACAAAATCGGTCCAATAGAAAAATTTTTACAAGCGATCAAAAAACGCCCATTTTTTCCAACTTTTCTAAAGAACTGAGTTAAAGTTTTTTTAATGCGTTGTGGCTCCTAAAGGAACGATAAAATCCACTACTCCCCCTCCCTAAACATTGTAGAACATCAATCAGAGAGTTCAAAAAGTACCAACAATTTAAAATTGGACCAATTTTTGAAATTCGTTGGAAAAAATGGGCGTTTTTTGATCGCTTGTAAACATTTTTCTATTGGACCGATTTTGTTTGTTTTTTTTGATCGACGCATAATTTTGAATTTCTTTAATTTTCTAAAGAAGTGTTATTCATAAAATATGGACCGTTTTCGAGTTTTAAGCGAAAAACTAAAAAAATGCCAAAAATTTTGAGGTTTTTTGACTGCCAAAAGTTGTGCCGGGAAAAAATTTGTGCGTACTCTTCAAATACATGTTATTTGGACCCGAATGGAGCATTTAAAACAATAAAATCTTTTACACCACCTTTTGCAGGTCAAAATTATCTGCATACTGGACTAAGAGTAAGTCTTCGTGAAAATTATCTATTTCGAGAAATGCGACCAAAAGCAAAAGATGCACATGCCCTTTGCTTTCCATAAAGTTGTGCCCAATAGATAACAAATGACACAGGCATTTTTTCACTTATTAGCGGAACATAAACATAGAAAACGTCGTGGTATTATATATAAAAGAAACGCTACCGATATAAATACAAGTCCCCTTTTTAGTTAAATTCATTCGGGATACGATAACTAATGGCCGACACTGACAATTTTATTTAAAACAAAGTGTCACTGTTTTGCTCATGTAAAGTCAAGTTAGTGAAAGTGGTGGATATAAAAATATTTCTTGCACTTTTAAAAAAATTCGACTATTTAGCTTTCCGTTTGAGAATACCTTTTGATGGAGGCCCACAAACTTCACATCAACTTGGCGAATTTTTTTCAAATTTCCAATACTATGTAGCGATAGAAACCACTAAATTTTTTATATTTTTTTTAATATTTATTTATATTTATATCAACTTTATCAACAGGAATATTTGTCCCTCAAAAAATAGGAGGATCAAGTAAATTTTATTTTTACCATTGAATTCAGGGCAAAAAAGTGGAAGTCATCTTACCGCACAAAAGATGTTCGGAAAAATTCTCCATGGGTCGTGCATAGATATAAATAAGTAATACGCTAAATGTACAATTATTAGTTTTTGAAAAGATATGGATTTATTTAGAATCAGTATAAATGTTATACTTTTAATCATTGTAACAGAATTTTAACCGTTAGCTACCATTTTTATGAAACACATACAATTTTTTTTTGTTCACCCTTGTATATAAGTAAAGAAAGATTTATTTTAGATGTTCGAAGTGCCGGTTTTTTTAGGATCTACCATACTACCTAAATGAATTCATTCATGCACATGTACCTAATAACTATAAAAATCTATAAATCAGTAAAAATGATCAGAACAAATCACAAGAAATAAAGGGGTAATTAAAAAATGTTATAACAAACATTGCTAATCTAGTCCACTAATTACCTGAAAACCAGGTAATTTACAGAAGGTGTCTTTATAGAAAAATGCTGTAAATGCATTGAATAAGTAATAACATTCAACGGTAACAGAATTTGTGCATCTCCAGTCAAATATTGTACAGCTTTTCGATAAACTTGTTTACATAATTAGTCCTTGATCATTATACATGGTCTATTGTGTTTAACAATAAATGAAGAGAATTAGCAAAACTGAGAAGGATAGATACATCGTTGGTTTCACTCCACGAGATC